AAAGAGAAGATTGTTTTAGCCTGTCTTTCCTCCAAAAATCCGCCATTTTACCACTTTTTTCTGTGGCGAGTTAATTAGAATTGGTTAAGTGCTAAAGGTCCATTTAAAGTCATCACGACTAAATAGTCATCATGACTCGACTAGTGATAGTACCCAATAAGTATGTCGGTCCTACTTGCCATAGGTTGACATAAAACATGTTGTTACGACATATTAAACACGTTGTTACGACGTTTTTATGTCGTGTCGACGTAAATCACGTCAACACGACGTCATAAGGTAGGGATATAATTTTGAAACATTTGGCTTGCCATACGAGCGCTTGGACCTATGGCAAGCCATAGATTGTATTACTAAGTAACAGGGATTGAAAACTGATGACGTCACACGGACAGACTCTGTAATGGTGGAAAAGCAATGGAAGGACTACACAAGCTCTTCTCCTAGTCTCCAACTGTATTAATTTGAATTTTATTTACTATCGATGATGAACAGATAGGTCTTGGGAGTTCATGACTGTTCTTTGTGACGGTTAAGCATAGTTTTGTTGACAGAATCTTCGCCGCCTCTCGCGACCCATGTTATCATTGAAATTGCCTTTGTGATGGCACAAATTAACGAATACAGCTATTATTTTTCCAAAGTGCCGTCTTTGGCTTATATAATAGGCTAAAGGCATGTGAAAAACCCTGATCTTTGTTACAGTTTTTGTCCTTTATCCTAATTTTACTTACTTTTTGTGATATAGGTTGAACAGATACGCCTCTAAAAACAGACATTTTGGGATCTTATGATCTGTATGAAGCACTAGTGATAATAAAAGTGTTTTAGTGGCACGTAGCTTTACTTGATGCATGTTTTTTTATATTGACACTCTCTCAGTTTTAGTTACCCTTAGCAAGTTATAGGTTGAATAGATTTCACACCTATTACGCATGGTAAAAAAGCATGCTTTTTCTCATTTTTCTTCAAAATAAAGTGCTGTATTACAGCTTTAACAGTTTCTGATAAGTAAGCAAACCTTCAGCAACAATATAAGCTATATAACTGCCCTGGATCTGGCTTCAAGCTACACTTAATCCAGTAGTCCTCTCAGTCATATTGCTCTTGTCTCAACGAGCCGGGGAAGGGGAAGAGTCTTACAAGGTTCGTCCGTATGGCAAGCCAATAGTATCAAAATTCGACTATCTCATACGACGACATAAGAATGCTCACACGACGACTTAAGATCACACGACGACTTAAGATCACAAGTCGACTTAAAACTCACGACGACTTGTATTTATTATTTGAATTTATTTCTAAAATACTAGGCGAATGTAGAACATTGAAGGGGCGAGCACAAGCTAGCATGGCAATATACAATGTTTAGATGTCACAAAGGCTAATGTTGTTGTCACAGTCAAATTGTAACTTGAATGATACACATGCAGAGCAGCTCAGAACTTGTGACTTGCATGCATGAAAGGAAATTTTATAGCTTGCTCTTCTAGCTTTATTAGCAGTGAAGAATCTCAGTTGTAACTTTAATAAGTATAATTTAATTTTTACTATGATATTTTCAAGCACAGTACTTTAAGACTTTCTTTTCTCTGATGAGCCATTTGAAGTGCTTTATTCTGTCATTCAACCGTAATTAATAAAAACTTGAAGATTTGTGTGAGTTTTCTCAAATTTTTCCTGCTGGTGAAATGTCTTGACAACAGATCAGTCTTATGTTGCTGCAAGTAAGATTGGATAAGGTAGGCGCCATTTTTATTACAGTACCACACCCACATCAATGAAAATATTTCATTTTAATCTTACCTCGGGTCCACCTGCCTACCGTGGTCCACCGTCCTCTGTACCGATTGCCTAAAGAATGAGACGGTGGCCACACTGCCCTGAGGAAGTGTGGCCAATGTATGGGCCCCACTTCAGCCCCTCCCCCCAGAATAACCGGGCCTTTCATGCGTTCCGGTCCACCATGCCGGGGGGTTCTCCGCCCACGCAATGACATTCTGTGGGCGGACTAAACCCCCTGGTCTCCTGCCCCCTCGTTGTGGTTGCACGAGGTGTGCCTCGAGGGGGAATCCGGAAACCCTCAAGGTGGTCCCACCCATATTTGGAGTGGGACCAACCATCGGAGGGGATGACCCACAGATCATTATCTAGGGGGCAGAGCTTCCGTGGTGCCCATACTATCACACTGGGAAGGGACCCAGTGGAAAACCTAAACCTACTAGATGTTGGGTGGGTGGCGGAAGAACAATTGGAGGTGCTTCTTCCATGCTTGAGGTCCTAAGTGAATGCTGGATGATGCTGGTCACCCACGCATGCGCACAACTGAACTGCGTGGGTGTACAAGTGGGTTGCTACATTTGCATACTGCCCACGCCATGCAGTGGGTGCGTGGGCGGTCAACCCAAGCGAGGATGGCCCCTGCTGATTAACTCCATTTAAACCATTGCTCTAAATGACATAGAATGCTACCGCATTAGATCATTGATTTTTAAATAGAGAGTTGTGCACACATGGGTGTGACCAGAATAGGCGTGACTGGAGACGTACGTACATACATACAGAGGGAGGGAGGGAGGGAGACTTCGCCTGAGTGGGGCTCGCTTATGCTCGCCCCAATTAATTTTCTAATTTTAACCCTTTGTAAACTGAAGAGTGAAGAAATTGAATAAAAATGGCAGAGACTGGCATCAGTTGGACTGATCGTCAAATCTCCTTATTGTTGTATTATAAATTCTCATAATTGGGCCTGGAATTGTCAAATCATTATACTTACTAAGAATAATTACATTCACAATAATGATAATAATAATTCCAAGAGAAGTGCAGAGGGAAGTAGAGGTAGCATTAAGAGAAAAAGGAGGGAGAGGGGAAAAAGAAAATAAAAGAAGTACTAGGAAAAAACATTATAGCATTAAGCATAAGTGTAACAATGATTATTAAATCAAGTACAATTAAAAGTAATTAAGTGCTCTAATACAATTTTACTCCATAGTCATTATACTCTCTTGTATAAGATTCACTTCATTTTGTAATTAATGTATCTCATCAGCTGATATAGAAAAACGACTTTCTGTGACTGTGACACTACCAGATTCCTCTGGTAATAGATCATCAATGCTTATTTCATAGTTTTCATCCACCCCATCAGAAAAAACTATATAGCAACTAGTCCAAACGAACGGAGTCTTAAAGATTCTTGTAGAAACATTTGTTGTGGGGATAGCTGTCTTGCTATTGTTTTTCCCATGGCAAGTATTTTGACTGGTAATTTCAATAGTACTTTGGTATTCTTGATATAAACATAGTATGCAATTCACACATCTTTCTAGTTCCAGTAGTGATTCCTCCATGTTTTTCAGTTCAGAAACTCTAGCGTTATGAATAACAGTTATGACGTTGTTTAACCCTCCTAATATAAGTCTGAGACGCTCAATGGTATGCTCACAATAATTTCCATTGGGCATACCATACTGTCTGCCACAGGATAACAAGAAAGATGATATTTGAGAA